AATGAGTCTGTACTAATGTGTTACTTCTATAATTAAAATATTATTTTCTAAAAAGAAAAAATTCTTTACACAATACTTATTAAGAGTGGTTCTTGCATTTAGTTATTTCAAACTACGAGGATTCTCATTAATCCTTTAAAAGAACAACTCAGCATAATGCCAGGTCTTGAAAAGTAATGTTTTTAAATGACAAGATAGTTTAGGATTAGAATTCCCTTATAAAGTGGAGGTTGTTTGCACTAGGAATGGACAGATAATACTTTGCAAACAGCGGTTGAATGATTTGTGATTGCTAAGTGCCCAGAGGATGAGCAGTCCCCAGTGCATGCTTGGTACTGTTATTAATGTATCTTTCATCTTTTGTGCACTCTGCAAATGTTAACTGGTTCACTCTCAAGAGTGATATGAATAAATTCTTACTGCAGTTGTAACCTGAGGTATAGGGAGAGGTCGAGGGGAATTTTTTACTATAATTTTTATGAGGGTTGATTTAACAGTGGATGGAATAGTCAGGGTCTGGGAGACAAGACTTCTGTTTAATCACCAGCAGGATGACCTTTATGTTTTATGTCCAGGGTCTCTGCCTCTGGGCCACATTTGGGACACAGGCGTCACTGGTGAGGCTGGGGGTCCCTGTGCCAGGGGTCCTGCCTCCTTGGGCCCACCATTGGTAAAGTGTTTTAAAACACCCTTTCCCTTTCAACTTGAGGTTTTTACTTTCTGTTAACTTTCTCTGTTTCCTCTGAAAACCTGAGAAAGGTACTGTGGCAGCTGTGTTATTTCTAGGTATAGTAACTTGTGGCAAAAATGACCCTTCGTGGTGAATTGTATCTGCCCTGGGAGATCTAAGAACCTGAGGGGAAGCATAGCTTTGGGCTTACCTGAAAGCAGTGACTCTTGAAACTGGGCAGGTCCCTTGAGGGCACTGGGCAGCTATGCCTGTGGAAGATATTGGCTCCTGTACAGCACGAGGGTCTAGACGGGGGCGGGGATCCCACACCTACCTCATGTGGTCTCATTCTCTTGTACTGGAACCCTGGGAAGCCAAAGAAAAGAGCCCGCGATGGCTATGTGGATTGCTGCCTGGATCACTCCTGGGGAAAAGGAACGCTGCTGCTTCCCTGCTGGCAGGATTTCCTGTCTTATATATCCCGAATCCAAGTGTGGTTGGCTGTGGTCTTATGCACGTGGATACTGAGTTGAGTCTAAGAAGCTGCCTGCCTGGGTAGGTTTTTCAGATCCACTCTGCAGCCATTTCCTGAGGTCTCGTGCCTCTCAGGGGGTTGTTAGGCATCCAGGCCAGGGCCACTTCAACCTCCTGTAAAATCCACTGACCTCTCCCCTTCTCAGACCATTGGGAACCTCTTATTCTGAATCTCCCCTTGAAGCCTTTTTGATATTCCCATTTTCCTTCCTACTCTTAACACTATCTCTTTGGCAAGTATAGTCCTTTAAATAAGACTGGAAGAGCCATTGCTTTCAATCATCTTTGCCTTCTGCCCTGCAAATATTGCTAAGAAAAGGAAATACAAAAGGCCACCTGTTAGGAATGGTGGGCAGGTAATGGAAAATAAAACTCTAATATGTGAAAAAGTCAACCTGTTAATATTAATAATAAAAACTCTTTCTATTATATAGGGCTTGGTTATTTGCAAAGGGTTTCCACAGCCAGTGTCTCATTTCAGCCTGACAATATTATAAGGGAAGCAGGCAGTGGCAAGCCCTGGGAAGGAAGAGGGAAGACTTGCTTTGTAACATTTGCCTATTTCCATGGTGTAAATGCTCACACCGTGGCCAGTTCCAAACTACCAATGACTTAACAAGTCTGAATTTTTGGATATTTAACAGTCAGCTTGGGAGAGTTGATGCAATCTGGCTCCAGGATACCACTGGAGTCAAGACACACATAATCACCCTAATTTAAAGGTGAGCAAAGCAAAGCTCAGAATTTTTGTCCAGGGTCACAGAGATAGTAAGAAGCAAACTAGGAACTTGAACTCACACCTGCTATTCTGTTCCTTTTTCTTGCTGAATCAAGTCTGTCCTTCATGGTGTTGGAATAGTAAAAAACTGAGTCTATTTACCACCTGTGAGAAATACTTAAAAATCCCTTCAAATGTCTGCTTTATCATCAGTCTTACTTCCCTCCCTCACCAACTCCCTTTAAGGAAAAATTCTCTCAGTGTACAGAATCCTACGCCTCCCCACTCATCTGGAACCACACTCCACCAACTGATTCCTCTGTCTTACATCTTTGAATCATCTCTTCCTCCCTCTTCTTCCCTCACCTATAACTCCTTTTGCAATTTCTCTAATCCAAGACTAATGCCCTGCCTCTGACTTGCTCACCATCTACTTCTGATGATCATGCTTCTTTTTTTTTAAAAAATAAATTTGTTTATTTATTTTTGGCTGCGTTGGGTCTTCGTTGCTGCGTGCGAGCTTTCTCTAGTTGTGTCGAGCGGGGGCTACTCTTCTTTGTGGTGCGCGGGCTTCTCATTGCGGTGGCTTCTCCTGTTGCGGAGCACGGGCTCCAGGTGCTCAGACCTCAGCAGTTGTGGTGCGTGGGCTCAGTAGTTGTGGCTCGCAGGCTCCAGAGCGCAGGCTAAGTAGTTGTGGCACAAGGGCTTAATTGCTCCGCGGCATGTGGGATCTTCCCAGACCAGGGCTCAAACTCGTGTCCCCTGCATTGGCAGGCGGATTCTTAACCACTGCGCCACCAGGGAAGTCCCTGATGATCATGCTTCTTGACAAAGTCAGACTTATTTCAGCACTTCCACCCCTGCCTTAGGTCACTGTCATTTGACTTGCACCCCCAAAGTACCCAAATCTCCCCTCCCAAGGCCAATTCCCCGCTTTATCTCAGTTGTTCTCTAGTTTATCCTTCTTTTGCACTTGATACTCTAACGATGTTCTAAAAACACATTTCTCTCTTGGTTTTCCTGCTTGGTCAGGCTCCACGGTTTCTCATTACATCTTTCTGAGTGATCCTCCTCTTGGGAAAGGGAGCCTCATGAGCATCTGGACAGAGCCTGGAGCTAATGCTTGATTATTCAGTCATTGACTCTGGCACCCTCTCTCTTCCATTTCTCTCTACTGTTTACATCCAACCTGACACTTGGCAGAGCTACCTGGCTGCCTTTGGAACCATCACATTTATTTCACTTTATCTGCCCCATGGCTCTGTGAAGATGATGTACCCACTAGACAGCATGTATCCAGATGGTATATGAAAGGAATACAGCAGAATAGCCTGTGTTTCTAGGAGAAATCCAGAACAGGGAGACCTGATGGAACTGGCCCCTTGACCCACCCCTCTGAGTCTTATGGTCCCTGACTTTACTATTCTCATATACTTCTCTTGAGTCCTTTAGGTTTCCACAGTTTAGCCTGTTGGAAAGAATGTAGACTTTGAGGTGAGAAGGATCTGGACCTGAATTCTGGTTCTGTCACTTACTAGCACTGTGGCTTTGGGCATGCCCTGTAACCCTTCTAAGTCTGCGTTGTCATCTGAAAAAGCTAAGACCCTGTTTGTAAGGAGACTGTGAGCTGTGAATAGCGTATGAAGAGGGTCTAGCATGGCTGTCCCTCAACAAATGACAGGTCATTATCACTGTCCTTCTAACCAGGTTTGTGTTTGGTGTCTCCCCACAGACTCTCTCAATCCCGACCACTCACATCCCAACCAATTTGGATAACACCCCTCCTGGCTTGATCCACTTTACTTCTATCTGGAGCACCTGTCCCACAGATGGCATTCCTATCCAGACCCTGGCCTTTGTCTCTTTGACCTCTACTTTATTCCCAAATTGAAGACATATAGGAAAGAAGTTTTCACTCTATTTTAGCCCAGTTAGCTTTGCCAATTTCCTAGGTTCTCCTTTGCCTGGTTTATGACATAGTAGGGCCACATTTTGGCTTGGAATTTCTAAATAACTTAAGAAGAATAAGATGCAGCAATTGAACATCAGTTCAGGCTCCCTCACAACTCTGACTGAATTTTAAAAAGAAATAAGTCGGGCTTCCCTGGTGGTGCAGTGGTTAAGAATCCGCCTGCCAATGCAGGGGACACTGGTTCGATCCCTGGTCCGGGAAGATCCCACATGCAATGGAGCAACTAAGCCCGTGCACCACAACTACTAAGCCTGCGCTCTACAGCCCGTGAGCCACAACTACTGAGCCCACATGCCACAACTACTGAAGCCTGTGCACCTAGAGCCCCTGCTCCACAACAAGAGAAACCACTGCAAAGCCTGTGCACTGCAATGAAGAGTAGCCCCTGCTCACCACAATAGAGAAAGCCCACATGCAACAACGAAGACCCAATGCAGCCAAAAATAAAATAAATTTATAAAAAAACAAACCAGAAAAAAAAAAAAACTTAAAAAAAAAGTCAATGAGAAATAAGCTTTCTGCTTTAAAGGTGAAGTCTCAGCGAAGAGGAATGAGTGAAAAGTTAGAAAAGGGGGCTATAATAGGGGTGGAGAGAAGATAGGGACACTAAAAAGATATGAACTCTGGACACAGACCCAGGCTGCCTCTGTTACCATCACGTTCATATTCTTCAGGTAGTGCCCTGAGACCCAGCTCTACTGCTCCAAACCGCCCAGGAACAGGTGAGAGGCAGGTGGCCAGCTCAGTTAGTCATGGTCCGGGAGCCCTAAATGATATGCTTTCATCACGCCCTCCCAGAAGGAGGAGTACCCAGACCACAAAGTCTCCAACCTCACCCCAGAGAAGGGAGAATAGTGAATGGGCACTGGCTGTGGCTCCCTTTGGGTACAACACCCAAAGTTGCCTCCTTAACTTCTCTCTAATAAAAATCATGATGTAGGAACTTCTTTGGTGGTCCAGTGGGTAAAACTCTGCGCTCCCAACGCAGGGGGCCCGGGTTCGATTCCTGGTCAGGGAACTGGATCCCACATGCATGCCGCAAATAAGAGTCCGCATGTCGCAACTAAGGCCCAGCACAGCCAAAATAAAGAAATAATAAATATTTTTTAAAAAGAAGTAACATTAAAAAAAATCATCATGTTATATCTAATATATATTTAAAAACATGGGAAACATACACATAAGGGAAGAAGCACAGTGATAAAATGGAGACCCTCAATCCCACTACCTAAATTAAGAACTAGATAGTACAAGTATGAATATTAAATTTACCCTTTTCTTTCTTTTTAAAATTCCTAAAGTGGAGCTCTTAATTCTGTCAAAACACATACATAGACTAATAGACTATAAGTAAACCATAAACCAGCATCCTTGATAGGTGGATATCCAGTCTTTAATTACATACTTCCCATGACAGGATATTCACTACCTCATAATGCAAGTTACTCTGTCATTGAGCAGCCCCCTTTTAGAAGAGTCTTCCTTATATTGAACTGAAATCTGCATCCTGTAACTTCCATCCATTTTAAAAGGTAGAATTTTAGTTTTCCTTCAAGTAAAAGGGAGTAGGCAGTCCAGAGCTGGTACTTTTCTGCTCTGCTATTTTTAGTGCACGGTTTCATGGTTCAAGATGGCCACTGAGTTCAAACCACCATCAGAGTTCCAGACAGAAAACCCAAAAAGGGAGAGAGGGTGCATGCCAACAACCTTTCTTCCTTTTAAGAAGATTTTCTGTAAATCGTAGTCAACAATGCTCGCTTACCTGTCATTGGACAGAGCTAAGTCACGGGGCCATCCTTGGCTATAAGGCAAACTGGGAAATGTAGTCTTTTAGCTAGAACATTACCATCCTAAATAAAAGTAGGTTTCTGACACCAAGAAAGAAGAGAAGAATGGATATAAGACAGACAGGCAACTTGCAGTCCCCACTACACGAGTGAATCAAGCAGTAAGCAGTGCAGAGTGTATAGACATAGTATAGAGTCAGTGTTCTCCAGAGAAACAGAACCAATAGGATTCATTTTAAGGAATTGGCCCATTTGACTGTGGAAGAGGACAAGTCTGAAATCTGCACGGAGGCCCAGCTGGAGATCCAGGGAGGAGCTGATGTTGCAGCTTGAGTCCAAAGACAGTCTGCTGGCAGAATCCTTTTTTCTTGGGGGACCTCAGTCTCTTCTCCTAAGGCTTCATCTAATTGGATGAGACCCACCCACATTATGGAGGCTAGTCTGCTTTACTCAAAGTCTACTGGGTTAAATGTTAATCGCATCTAAAAAATGCCTTGACAGCAACCTCTAGACTGGTGTTTGACTGAGTGCCATGACCCAGCGAGATTGATACACAAAGTCAGCCATTACACATGGTCACAGATACAAGCAGATGTGGCTGCTCTGTTTCTAATGGACTGAAGTGGATGTGAAGTTCAGTGGATTCGCCAGCCCTGGAGGAACTTGCAAGGTCAGAAGAGCCCAGAGCCTTGGCTTGTTGCCTTTTGCATCTTTTCAGGCTCGGGGGTGGGAGGAATGCTTTGACACTCTGGGGTCACCTTGTCACCAGGGATTGGAGCCTCTGTGTTAGTCACAAAACGTAGTTACTTCCATGTTTTATTTCTTACTGAGTCCTAAGGCCTAAGCTCACTTTCAGCGCTACAGGCCTAGTCGGGGCCCACTGAGAGTCACGAATGGGTTCTGTCAGCTCTCTCACCTAGAACTCTCCCAGCATGGGGCTCAGCACAGGCCAGGGCTCAACAAAGCTCTACAAAGACCTCATTCTCATTCCTTACAAATATCTGATTGTCACTCTCATGTCTTCTCATAAGTATTTCTTCTTCTACACATACCTGGTTTCGGTCTTAGCACTTTGTAACCCTAAATATACATTGTCGTGTTGGCGGGTGCAGGGTGGTGGTGCTGGGGGCATGGGAAATGGGATGGATTAGCGCATTCTCTCGTTGTAACAGATGTTGGTGCGCAATGTAGCTAAATGCAGACTTTAAACAGTGGCATTTTATGTTTAAGTTGAATAATAAAAGCAGTTTGCTTATATGCACTTAAATAACTCTTGATAGAGGAAAGAAGTCCTGTGTTCACGGGGGCATTTCTTTTGTGGGTGTGCAGCTCCCTCCCACTTCTGATCCGATGAGGCCTGATCTGGTGACAGCTCATTTTGCAGACAACACAACTGGAGAATAGCTAGGTCAGAGGAAAGGAGAGGGGAGGGTGGACTTGGTATTTATTATTTGGTGATACTCTGTAGCTAAATGGTAGCTTTACTACACTTTCCCCCAAATCCTCCAGGTATGAAGTCCAGGTAGAGTCGATGGGTTAGAGGTAGAAAGAGATCACTATGATGTACTTGCAATTATGTCTGGTGACTTCTCCTTGCATTCTTACATAAGCCAGATAAGTATGTCTTTATTAATGGAGAGGGATAGTGGCAAGGGGTGGGATGGAGGAATGCATTTCACAACTTTATATATATATATATATATATATATATATATCTTCAATTTGAAACTTTCCTTGGTTTCCATAGCCCAGCTGCAGAAGGCCACCCAATTAGTTAAAAAGAAAAAGGGTTTGAGATCATGGCTGGGTTACTTCATGTGGACTAAAATAGAGGAAATGGCTACAATTGCTTTGCCAGGGATGTCCAACCCTGCATTAGACTAAAAAGGCATCTTACAGCATTGGGCAACTTAAAAAGATGTAATAAGGGAACTGCCTACTTTGCACATCTGTTAAGAACATCTGGCTCTTGCCTGAGCCCTGGTAATTTTGACAGTTAGTTGGTGGCCCACAGATTGAAAAAGAGGCAAACCCTCAACCTGTCAGCCTCGTCTGTGGAATTTCCTGGTGGCATAACTACCAAGCTCAAGGGCGAAAAGCAGCTGGGGTATTTGTGCAGCTGCCCACATTGCCTGTGCTGAGCTTACTTCCTGACGGCGGATTTAAAAGAGAGGGGCTTTTGAAGACTCAGGTGCTGGCCTCAGAAAGCAGTACCTCTGCACCCTGCCCCAGAGAGCCCTTCACCATGAGCATCCTGGGGGGCGTCTAGAAGGCTTAATCCCTCAATTACTGCTCTCTTTCTTTTGTGGTACTGGGTTGTTGACGAGATGTGCCCTGTGGCAGGTTGCATTTTCCAAAGATGGTTGTGACGACATCCCTCATCCCACATGCTCGTCTGCAGTGCTACCGTCAAGAGGCAGAAGCTTCCGTCCCTGCCCTTGAATGTAACCGGCCACAGTGACATGCTTGCATCCAATAATGTGGCATGGAGGGTGACTTCCGAGGTTAGGCCAGGAAGGCCATGCAGCTTCCTCCAGGTTTTCTCACAAGAGTTGCTTTCTGGACATCCCTCCTGAGGTGCTGTATCTCAGAGCTGGTCGCCATGCTGTGGGAAACCCAAGTCACATGGAAAGGCCACACACGTGTGCTCCTGTTGACAGTGCCAGTGGAGGCTGGCCTTTGAGTCATTTCAGCCTTGGTACCAGACATGTGAGTAATGAAGCCTCCAGATGAGTCCAGCTCCCACACGGGTTTTGTAGCTGAGGCCCCAGGCATCACGAAACAGAGACAATTCATCCCTGCTCTGCCCCATCTGAATTCCTGACCCACAGCATCTGTGAGCACAATAAAATAGCTGTTTTAGTCCACTAGGTTTGAGGTGGTTTGTTACACAGCAAAGATAATCAAAGCATGTCCATAAGAGACACTTTTGGAGGAATCTGAATGCTGTTAGTCAGCACATCCCATTCTTTCTACTTCCCTCCCCCTGCCCCACCCCAGGGTCCTTCCAGGTGTGCCCAGCACTATATTACACAGTGTGCACTTTGTAAGAGAAGTACAGGGCTACCACTTGCCCCTCCTTTGTAGGTACTGGAGAAAGATGCCCATTCCTCTGGGACAGTGCAATCCTGCCCCACAGCACACAGCCTCGCAGGCGAAGTGCAGGCTCCTTTCATCCCCCTCCTGAACCTGGTCAGATATCTTCGGCAGCTTACAAACTGCACAGTTGTACACAGCGGCCCTGGAGAAGTGTAAAAGTAAGTCTCTCCTTAAGGAATTTACATTCTTATTGATGCAATATATGTGTACTTTATAATAGGAAAGTGTCAAATGCTAAATCATGTGCTAACACTGATTTTAGAAAGAGTTTTGTAAAAATAAGAAAAAACATGGAGTTGTAGAAAAAGCGCTGAACTTTTAAATAGGAGCTCTGGGTAGAAGAGCTGGGCGTGAGTCATGTTCTACTGCCGACTGGCACCACCTTGTTTGGTGCCTGGGTTCTTTGAACTCTGGTGTCTTTCACCTGGGGAGTAAGAAGTTGCTCTAATTGGTGATGGTCAAACATTCCAACTGAGATATCCTTATGGCAGCGTGGGGTCTGAGGGTGTGGCAGTCAGAATTGGTTGCCCAAAGCTGGACTCAGAAACTGTATGCACATTTTATTTATTCATAAGCCTCAGTTTTCAGGGGGAAAAAAAAATCACCTGAGTAGAAAAGTCTTCCCCAACCACCATATTTAAAATAACACAGCTAGGGCTTCCCTGGTGGCACAGTGGTTGAGAGTCCGCCTGCCGATGCAGGGGACACGGGTTCGTGCCCCGGTCCGGGAAGATCCCACATGCCGTGGAGTGGCTGGGTCCGTGAGCCATGGCCGCTGAGCCTGCGCGTCCAGAGCCTGTGCTCCGCAACGGGAGAGGCCACAACAGTGAGAGGCCCGCGTACTGCCAAAAAAAAACACAGCTCCTTCGCCCCTACCATTCTCTCTCTTTAGTGGATTAGAGATGGCCACAAGTTCTTTGATCCTCCTCCTGTGGAGAGACAGGGTCTCTGTCCACTTACATGTAGGCGGGTTCGGCGGTTGCTTTGAGCAACAGAATATGGCAGATGTGGTGCTGGGACAGTTCCCAGTTTCTCTGGGAGTCCTGGATTTGATTACCTGAGACCGCCCTGCTGAAGTGGCGATGTATAGGCACTTCAATCAACAGTTCCAGCTGAGCCCAGGCTTCTGGGCATCCCCCTGGAGGCCCCAGACACATGAGCGAGGCCATCTTGGACCCTCAAAACTAGTCCATCTGCCAGCTGCTCTCACTGACTAGAAGGACTCCCTATCTGAGCCCTGTGGGAATGTCGGGCCCACAGAATTATGCGATATTATAGAACAGTTCTTATTCCAAACCACTAAGTCTTTCTTTAAAAAAAGGATTTATTTATTATTTATTTTATTTATTTTTGGCTGAGTCGGGTCTTAGTTGCGGCACGCGGGATCTTTGTTGAGGCATGCGGGATGTTTCTCTGCGTTGTGGCTTGTGGGTTTTCTCTCTCTAGTTGTAGCACACGGGCTCCAGGGTGTGTGGGCTCTGTAGTTGTGGTGCACGGGCTCCAGGGCACATGGGCTCTGTAGTTTGTGGCACGTGGGCTCTCTCATTGAGGCGTGTGAGCTCAGTAGTTGAGGCGGCGCTGGCCTAGTTGCCCCGCGGCATGTGGGATCTTAGTTCCCTGACTGGGGATCAAACCCACGTCTCCTGCATTATAAGGCAGATTCTTTACCACTGGACCACCAGGGAAGTCCCCCAAACCACTAAATCTTGAGGTGGTTTGTTACACAGCAATAGGTAACTGGAACACCAACCCTCAACTGGCTTTATTTTCTTCACCGCCAGTGGTGTCCTGGATCTGGCTCATACTGGCTCGTGAGAGCAGGTGGTTAAATTTTCAGGAATTCTGTGAGCCAGTTATTAAACAAAGCCATCATTAAAAATTAAATAATTCGACTTACAATGAAATGAATTATATTAAAAACAAGAGTAATATATCCTCAAAACTTCCTAGTTCTTTTACTATGTGTTTCTCTCATCTGTGCTTTGAGGTTGTTTATGTCCCTTGCGTCTGTAGGTGGTGGGACTACTGTGCAAGAGTGCATTATAGCTCATGTCCTCCCAGCTTCATGGTCAGGGATATCACACTGGGAGCTTGAAAGTGACTGTGGTGAAGGTATTTACACCATGGAAATCATCGAATGCCTTCCGGAAAGCTGGTCATTAAATATGTTACCAGACACCATTACCACTGGTCACTGCACTTATAACCAGCTGATACATTAGGTATTTATTGAGTATTTCCTTATCGTTTTCCCTGTCAGTGGAATGTAAGCATCCTGAGAGGAGGAGCTTTGTCTTTTTTGTTCACTGTCGTCTCCCCAGAACCTAGGAAAGTATCAAGCACAGAGGAGGTGTTCAATAAATATTTTTGCATGAGAGCATTCTGCTCTGTAACATATGTGTAGTGAAATTCATAGGTCGTTTGCCACATCCTCTTCTCTGGACTACTGGCTTCACCCTCAGCAGCTGTGAGACTTTGCCGTGCCGGCCACAGATACGTGGTTCAAGCTGAACCAGTGAGCATCCCTAAACTACCCATTTGGAGTTAAGTGAGGGAACCCAAGATGATAGTGGGTGTGTGACGAGAAGGGAGCGAGAGCACAAGCCAGCAATTGGAGTGGCTGGTACTTTGAAACTTGCAAGCTATTGGTGCCCATTTCCTGTTCATCATGGGGACTGAGTAGCAAAGAAAGCTCTTCTTCCAAGAAGATGAAGTCATTTCTCAGAGTGATCCAGTTATGAGTGTCAGCCACTCCCGAGGCCTCATGTATTCTCGACCTTGGGGTCTCCCTGTATCCTTGATTTCTGTTACTTGTAACCCCAAATGTCCTAACAAACACAACCTCCATGTTTGTTTTAATATAATCTTTTAAATTACTTATCATTAGGGGAGAAAAAAAGAAAACAGCAGTGGGCCTCTATGGTTCCCTTTGGTAATTTTGGAAGGATGAGTCATGTTTAGTCTATACAGTCTGAAAATACATATGTGAGGTTTGGTTCCCAGCAATTTGTCTCCTCTTCTAAGAGTCACAATATGTTGAAAATTAGGTTAAAATATAATTGTGGGTTGAAATAGCAACCTGTTTCATCAGTTTACAATGTGTGTTAGGGCCATGACTAAGGAAAAGATACTTGGAATTGACACGTGTGCAGGTCCACATTGGAGGGAGTTTCACTTAACTATTTCTTATTATATGGTCAGTTTTAGGGAGAAGGAAAGTCTGATTTGAGACAGTCTCTTTTACTATGTCAAAGAAATCCTGGTCAAAGGACTCTTTCATGAACAAAGAGGATTCACGATGTTTGTCTTGCCACTTACCCTGAAATTTTTATCACAGGTAAATGAACTGAAGATTTTCTATGACTTATATTCCTCACAGTCAACACGTTACGGCTTTTCAGATTTCATTTTCCTCACAACAGCCTTCTTCTGTGCAGGGAACACGTTTGCAATCTGGCCTCTTCCACTTGACTATGGAGAGTGGTCAGTCTTGACGTTTGCAAGTAAGTCCACTTTGGGAGACACTTTCATGATGAGGTTGAATACTGAATTAACTCACGCTATCTGGGTTTTTCCTCTTTGTTTTGATGGTATTTTTTTTTTCTTCATGAGGAAACAAAACAGATCAATTCTGAATTTGTATTCTGGTGATACCTTTTCTTGGTTATGCCAGCCTATGTTTTCAATAGGAGGGTTTTCAAAGCTACTTCGCATTTCCTCACCATTTTGTCTAAACTGACTAGTATCCAAACTATTGTCTTGTTGTTGTTGCCTATTTGTTAGATTATTTAAATTTATATTTCATACCTCACTGAAGTCAGAGAAAAAAGAAGAGCACTTTGAGTTGAGCCCCTGCTGGTGAGTTCAGGGGCAGCACCCCTTTGCCCAGGCCACCTGCCCAGCCCTTTTTTTCTCCTTTGACTTAAAACAGATTTGGCTGCAACAAAGGGAGTGGATTTTTCTTCGCACAAGCTGTACCTACCTTTCAGCGTCATTCTGAAACCCACCTCGAAGGAAGCTTTGAGCTACTTCTCACTTACTTTATTTGCTTTTCCTTGTGCTGTTATGAGTCAAGACTCCTCTCTTTTTAGTTGCCAAAAGCTCTGCTGCTTTTCCTTCGAAATCTACACAATTATTTTAAAATATTTCAAAATACTTTTTTTTTTTTTTTTTTGCGCTATGCAGGCCTCTCACTGTTGTGGCCTCTCCCTTTGCGGAGCACAGGCTCCAGACGTGCAGGCTCAGCGGCCATGGCTCACGGACCCAGCCGCTCCGCGGCATGTGGGATCTTCCCGGACCGGGGCATGAACCTGTGTCCCCTGCATCGGCAGGCGGACTCTCAACCACTGCGCCACCAGGGAAGCCCTTTCTTTTAAATTAATTTATTTATTTATTGTATGCATTGGGTCTTTGTTGCTGCATGCGGGTTTCTCTATTTGCGACGAGTGGGGGCTGCTCTTAGTTGCGGTGCACAGGCTTCTTATTGCGGTGGCTTCTCTTGTTGTGGAACATGGGCTCTAGGTACACGGGATTCAGTAGTTGTGGCACTCAGGCTCAGTAGTTGTGGCACACGGGCTCAGTAGTTGTGGCACTCAGGCTCAGTAGTTGTAGCTCACGGGCTTAGTTGCTCTGCAGCATGTGGGATCTTCCCGGACCAGGGATTGAACCCGTGTCCCCTGCATTGGCAGGTGGATTCCCAACCACTGCACCACCAGGGAAGCCCAATAATTTTGTTTTAATTGGGGTATAGTTGCTTTACAATGTTGTGTTAGTTTCTGTTGTACAACGCAGTGAATCAGCTATACATATACATATATCCCCTCCCTCTTGTACCTCTCCCCCTGCATCCCATCCATCTAGGTCACCACAGGGCACTGAGCTGAGCTCCCTGTGCTATACAGCAGGTTCCCACTAGCTCTCTGTTTTACACATGGCAGCGCAGACACGTCAATCCCAGTCTCCCAGTTCATCCCACCACCCCCAAACACACAACCAAGTATAGAGAGTGACATAACAAATACCTGCCTCACTACATAGATTTAACAAATATTTACATGTTGCCATAATTGCTTTAGGTCCTTTTTCTTACGGAAATTCAATATTACAAATGGAAAGAAAGCTCCTTTTGTAGCCTCCTCTTTCCAATGCCTCTCCCTTCCTCATGACTGGTTTAAAAATGTCATTACAAGAGTGACAGCTTCATGTGTTATTCCTCGGGGCTTTCTCATGTGAGAGGCACTGTGATTTAGGCCCATTTATATCTTCAAAATAATAAAGCCCATATTCGAAATGAGCATCCAGATACATATTCTGTGCTTTGTATGTGACAACTGCATCTACACTTTGTAGAGTGACTCATTGTAGTGGGGACTGTGCTAGTCTCTTGTTTCCAGGGCACACGAGGGTCTTCAGGCACCTCATGTCCCTCAGAACCTCGCATGGTTTCTTTCAGTTTTTAATTTCTCTTATATCCCATAGTTTCACCAGTTTTCTGTTTATGCTTCAAACTTCCCCCAACCCACGTTCCCAATTGAAAATCGTTACCCTTTTTATAAGGTCGATGAAGAATGGCACTTAAAGTTACAAAACCAAGAATGTCTGGGACCTCTGTGCTAAAGCAAACTCCAGAGGCACTTTGGTGAACAAGCAAGGGGGAAACAGCCAAAGGCTAAATCCCCTGATTCCCTTACGTGTGTGATCCTCCACATACACGAATAGGTTGTAATGTTTCAGCCTCAGATCTGAGCTGCACAAGGCAGCCTGTGTACTCGCCTTCAAGAAGGTGACTTCCATTTAAGACGAATGAAGATTCTGGAGAAAAATTGCAGACAACCTGCCACAGGCAATAATCTATCTCCAAGTTGCTATCTCTCAAGTCTCTGATTCTAAAGCTACAGTATATGAAAAGTGTGTGGGAAACAGTTGAGCTAATTCAAATGGCACATGTCTGAGCTATCAAATATTGTAAAAGGGACTCTCTTTCTCTAGGAAAGAAAATTGTACTGAGTTTAAGAGGCCTTTGTACCAGCGGACAACTTTCCCTTCACCACATAGCAGGTGGCCTTCAAGGGCAGGCCCTTCCAAGGTCCCATTCATTGTCATCTGGGTGATTGCGGCCCCTGCCAGCTCTTTTTTTTTTTTTTTGGCTGTGCTGGGTCTTCGTTGCTGCACGGGGTTTCTCTAGGTGCAGTGAGCGGGGGCCACTCTTTGCTGCGGTGCACGGGCTTCTCATTGCGGTGGCTTCTCTTGTTGCAGAGCATGGGCTCTAGGCACGTGGACTCAGTAGTTGTGGCTCACAGGCTCTAGAGTGCAGACTCAGTAGTTGTGGTGCATGGGCTTAGTTGCTCCGCAGCATGTGGGATCTTCCTGGACCAGGGCTCAAACCCGTGTCCCCTGCATTGGCAGGTGGATTCTTAACCACTGTGCCACCAGGGAAGCCCCCCTGCCAGCTCTTGTGTGGGACCTAGTGGGAAATCATAAAAATAATAGCAAATATGGGCTTAGCATGCGCCTGGCACTGCCCGAGATGGTTTATACCATTTTATCCTCATAGCAACCCTTTTGGGCCCTGAGGTCACCCAGGAGTGAGTTGGAAGGGAGGCAGTGTGACCTGGAGCCTGGGACCCTGTGGTGGTATTGCCGCGTTCCTCTCCACCCAGCTCTCATTCAATTGCCACAAAACCACCTGGGCAGCCAGACACGTCTAATAGCTAAGTGTCTAGCAAAGGCTGCATTGTCTTTGGAGCCTTAAACACAGCCCTTTTAATTGGAATTGCTTCCTAATTCAGCTTCATATATCTCCTCTCCTCCCACACAAAAGAATCCATTGTGTTGGTCTCAGGGACAAACTGGATGCTCCTTTGATATGCTTTGCATGTAAATGTAAGGAACAAGACTCATTTGATTTCATTATATGCTTTATTGATGCGCCTGCAGCATTTTATTGTAGGTTTTTGTGACTAGAATTTCTAACAAAGGAGGGAGTGGGCTTCCAGGCTGGCAGCTCAGCCTAAAGAGGATTTACCACATCCGGCTCTAAAGAGATGCTCACTTGTGGCTGGTGTCATTCCTAAGCTTTTAAAAGGGCTGGAGGTTTCAGTAGCTGCTGCTATTCTATGACTATAAAAGTGTTATCAAGCATGAGACGAATGCTCCTTGCCACTATGCGGGGGGAGGTGGGGAGGACTTACTGAGCCCCCGAAAAGACGGGCAGGATGACTTGGTATCACTGGGGGAAATAAATGTGCTCACATGCCAGGACTGACAGAGCTGGTACCTAATCCTTCCTACCTGCAATGACAGGCTCCTGGGACTATAGCATGGGGTTAATTATTCCCAGCGTTCTTCATTATAATTCTAAATGAGATAATGATTAGAAATAGTACCTAGTCATTGAACTGTAAATGCCCAAGGCATTCTCTTGCTGGAGAAACTAGCATTTTTTCCTGTGGCGTGTTAATTCCTTTTGTTTTCTTCCTCCCAGGTTTAGTTGGTCTTTTAAATAATTGGAGCCTCTACAACTCTCTCGTGCCAAATAGAAAGAGTTAACAACGACTAAAAGCTGACTAAGCACCGGGTACTTTATTGTGTTGTACTTAATCCTCACAGTAGCCTTGTGCAATTGGGATTTTATTATTTCCGTTGTATAGGTAAGGGATGGCACAGAGTGGCTAAGTGCTTCCACTGGTGACACAGCTAGTATGCTGAGGTTTCAGGACTTGAATCCTCGGAGTCAGACTGCAAAATATAAGACATCGTCTCCTAAGACCTTGAACTTTCTTCCCTTAACACCTGGCTTGGAGGTCTGGCCATGTCTCATCTAGAAGCCTCTGAGGTCTAGAGCCTTCCTGATGGACATCACTTTTTTTTTTTTTTTTTTTTTTTTTTGCGGTACGCGGGCCTCTCACTGTTGTGGCCTCTCCCGTTGCGGAGCACAGGCTCCGGACGCGCAGGCTCAGCGGCCATGGCTCACGGTCCCAGCCGCTCCGCGGCATGTGGGATCCTCCCGGACCAGGGCACAAACCCGCGTCCCCTGCATCGTCAGGCGGACTCTCAACCACTGCGCCACCGGGGAAGCCCTCTACTATCTTTTAACAAGGCCCATCTGGGACCACACCACATCAGCCAAGGTTTTGTTAACTGAAAAATAAAAAACAAAACCGCCCAATGTGAGTTCAGTTTTATTTGGGGTCACTGAGGACTACAGCCCAGGAGACAACCCCTCAGATAGCTCTGAGGAACTGCTCCACAGAGGTAGGGGGTAAGGTCAGTATTACATATGATTTTGGTGAAGGGGAAAGTGCAGTCAAGCACACGTCTCGGTAGAAGGCTGCTGCTAGTCACAAGGAGCAGATGTTTCCGTTAAGGGTTTTAGTGCTTTTCTAGGCATGAGAAGGTACAAGAAATTGGGTTCATAAAAGTTTCTCCTGAAAATACCTATCTGAAGGCCTGTTCTGTCAGTTTTTCCCAAAGCACAGAGTGCCTCATTCCTGATCTCCTTTCAAGGTGTGTTTAAAGTCAGCGACTGGACTGCAGTGGCTGGTGACCTCATCCTTTTAGGACCAAATGGAGAGCAACATTCTTTAATTTGAAGTTTCAGTGGGCACTGCACCTCACGAAAACTAATTGAATCTAGTTTTGTAAAATCAGTTCTTCACTATGAAAAGTCTTGGTATACAAAAGTATGTATCAGTAGAACAGAATTCTTAGGTTGCCTAATTGTATACACCACTAAAAGCTTTACTTTGACTTACTGTAGAAACCCTTCAAATACTGAGCTCCCTGGAGCATTTAAAATGAGATTCAATTGATGACAAAATGGATTCATTTAAGAATGAAGGCATAAAGAAAGCAACACTCTTTAAGTAAATTCTTTCATATATATTCATATGCTTCCTTTCACCTAGAAGCTCCAGGGCTAAACATGACTAAAGGTTTTTCAAGGCTTTCACACATCAGTGGAGCCCAATTCTCTTCCCGTTGTCTTTCATTCCATTTCTAAATTGAGTATCAGAATGATAGAAAATCAGTCATCAGATAATACTTTTTAGTGATTCTAGAACTCACACACTGCTTTCTTTTATTACTCTGAAAAAATACCTTCAGGTTTTCTAGCTGACTGGAGAGCTGGATGAGAGCACAGCAGGATCTAAATACTATTATCTTTCAAAGATATAGCAAAGAGCCAGAGTCGCTGACTAATTCACACAAGCACTTTGGAGGATATAATCAGTAACCTTGAGAGTATGTTTCTGGGTTTTTTGTTGTTGTTTTTTGGGTTTTTTTGTTTTGTTTAAACCAGCTATGATTATGGATGTGCTTCAGATGATAATCAAGTGAGTGGTGGCTTTTATTTCAGATCTAAAAAGCAATTTATTACTGCCTTTCTCACTTATGTTTCCCTGTCAAGTAGGCAGTCCCATGCTGGGCTCTTAGCAGCTGAGCATCTTCAGTTAGCTTTAATTATCGTCTAGCTCATGACTTCCCTGGTAGGCTGGGTTCCCTATTTGGCCCTCACCCCTAACTTTCTACCCCTCTCTATTAAGTTTTCTGTTGTTGTGTAGCAAATTACCAGAAACTCAGTGCCTTAAAACAGCGTACATTTAGGATTTTACGGGCACTGCTTAGCTGGCTTCTCCGCTCAGAGTCACACAAAGCTGAAACTAAGGTGCCATCTGGGGTTAAGGTCTCATCTGAGGCTGGGGGTCCTCTTCCAACTTCACATAGTTGTTGGCAGTTCATTTTCTTGCAGCTGTAGAATTCATGACAGCTTGCTTCTTCAAAGCCAGCATCTCTGAACTCTAGACTCTCTTTTAAAGGGCTCACCTGGTTTGGTCAGGCCCACCCAGGATAATTTCCTTTCAATTTGAAGTCAACTGATTATAGACCTTAATCACATCTGAAAAATCTCTTCATTTTTGCCATATAACATAACAATCATGGGAGTGATGTCCCATTGCCTTTGCCATATTCCACTGGTTAGAAACAAATTACAGGTCCCACTGACACTCAAGGGTGTCACTGTTGGGGGGTCATCTTAAAATCTTCCTACCACATTCTCTTTCTGAATAAGAACAGAAATGAGGGCTTCCCTGGTGGCGCACTGGTTGAGAGTCTGCCTGCCGATGCAGGGGACGCGGGTTAGTGCCCTGGTCCGGGAAGATCCCACATGCCGCGGAGCGGCTGGATCCGTGAGCCATGGCCGCTGAGCCTACGCGTCCGGAGCCTGTGCTCCGCAACGGGAGAGGCCACAACAGTGAGAGACCCACGTACCGCAAAAAAAAAAAAAAAAGAACAGAAATGAGGCTAGTGAGCATCTGGTAGCCACTCTCTCATGCCTTCAGTACACTTTAGTGTAGGTTAATGCTCAAGAAAGTGTCTTATGTCACCTATTTACATCATTGACTCATATCCCAAAGTCAAAGATCCCTGTTTCGAGAGTTTAAGCGTTTTCCTTTATTGGGCAACTTTGACATTAACAGGACTATAGATCCAGTGGAGATGAAAGGTGTGTGTCGTCATTTTGGATGTTTAATTGTTCTTTTCCAGAGGATATCAAGGAACAAAGAAAGCTGACTCTATTATAGAAATTTTCTTCCACCTCAAGTGGAAAAGCAAAGGTGTTTCAGGATAAGATCAGTAAGGGCCACAGGTCCAAGGGAAGTATTCAGCCTCTCCTGTGTTTGGAATAAAGTGAGTTCTTCCTGTTCCCTGGCGTCCTCAAAGGGAAAATGGCTCCAGTCATGACATTCGTAGTAAGGTTGGGCCATGGCTCTATTAGTGTTAAAAATGTTTCTCCATAAACACTTTGAAGTAGTATAATTTTCATTACCTGTACCCTTCTGCTTTCCCATTAACACCTTCTTTTCATTGTAGGTCTAGCCCTGGAAATCCTGGTAAAGCTACAAGCAGACTAAAAATTATCATTCACACCACAAGTGACGTGTGTAAGTAGATTTTGTAGAATTTAAGATTCCAAAATTTGTACATTTGGAGATGTACTATTTGGAAGAGAGAATTAGAGGAACACCCACAACACATGTGTGCACATGTATGCATGTATAGTCACACCTCTCACACTTTCTCATTGCTACTCAGGTATGACCCTAAAATAACAACAATACTAATCATTTATTGAGGATAACCATGTTTCAGCCGTGTTACATACAATATTGCTTATCTATCTATCTATCTATCATCTATCTATCAATCATTGCTAATGTAATACAGATAATGTTGGGCTTGCCCTACCTTTGAAATTTACATAAAATTGGTTTGAATGTCCTAACTTTCTGTGGAAATCCAATTTTCTCACCAAGATTGGGATAGATTCTTGTGGTCACTGCTAGCTCTGATTTCATGTTCCTACTGCATTCTCACTCATTAATATCTGGCCTTTGGAGCTTTTCCCTTGTCTGTCCCGCAGACCCATGAACCCCATAAAAGAACACAGGTTGTGCTCCTGGAACAGGACTGGCTACATAATTTGTAGAGCCCAGTGCAAGAGGAAAATAAGGAGACCCTCTGTCAAAAATAATTAAAAATTTCAAGATGGTGACAGGAGAACATTAAACCAAGAATGTGGCCTTTCTAAGCTTGGGGGTGTGACTGCACAGGTCACGTGCCCACAAAGGTAGCCCTGTCCTAGAATTTCCCCAAATACCACTCCTTACAAGGCAATCAGATGGACTACATATTTATTAAAGTGCCTAGGGTAATAGTAGAAGAGCACTGGGTCTAGGGATCACAGCAGCTCACAGCAGAGAACTTCGGATTAAATGTTTCCCTCAAATTTCTGTCCATATCTACTGAAATTTAGTTTATCTATAACTTCCTCTTTTTTTTCCTAATATCTTTCTAAACCATGGGCCATGCCTAGGGTTTGAGTGTGGGTGCTCATCAAAGCATTCTACTGGGCAAAAACTTGACCTACTCCTAAGAGAAACTGTCTCCTTCCCTAGGGATGGAAGTAGGAATAGTTGTATTTTAAATAGCAAATTATTCTTATTCTCACTGCTCAAATTATTCTCTTTTGTGCAAGGTATTATTATTATCATTCTCATTTTACAGGTAAGGGGTCCTGATGCTCAAGAAAACATAGCTGGTGAAATGATATCTAGCTTCAACTTTTATATTCTTTCCACTAAACTTGCTGCTCTCTAAATCTGGAAAGGCTTTTGAGAAATCACAAATTAGCCCCCGAATGTGCCAAGACTGTCTCTATGGAGGTGCAGCCTGGTATAAATCTTTCAGTGGTTCCACTAGAACCCAACAGTTTGGACTATTGGTGTCGGATTATCGTGTGAAGCAAGGTTAGCCAGAGGGCCGTCATGGAGGAAGGTTAGACTATGTCCCTCTTCCTTTCCTAGGCAATATGAGATTTAAGGACTGTTTAAGATCCCTTTCTTCAACTCTTTATGGAATTGGAGACCATCATTATTACCTTTATGCTCTATGTACAGTGAAAAACATAGCTATCCTCTTGGGACTGTCAGAGCCACTCTTGTTACTGAATTTCCCCCTTTCTCCACAAGGGAGGAAGAATCCTCCAATACTTGGCAGACATCCGTGGAGATATTTTGTGCATTGTTGGTGTGGTCCATGTACTGTGGTCAGTCCATTATTCAGTCTTAGGATAACCTAATTCAAAACCACCTGAGCCATCAAACCATCTATGTATTTAAGCTGGGTACATGTGAACATGCTGCAGTCCACTTTTTGGACCAAATTTCAGTATGAAAATGCCTCCTTATGAATAGAGTGATTATATAATTCATCATCCAAATCTGGACAGTTTTAAGAATGAAAGGGTACTAAAAAATTAATTATATAGTTTTAAAAAATGTACATTTATTAACCAACAAATTAGTTTTATTAGAATCGTGGACCTATGAAGTCTGTTCAAAGACTATTTTCAAAAAAGAAATTTTTCAAGAATAAAAATAACAGAACAGTGTACATGAAGAAAAAATTTTAAGTTATTTATATCTATTATCTGAACTTTGAAATGATATCATCTGAATAATTAGTCTCGGTATATATTAATGTGCTTTAATCAGTTGCACAGTGTTCTGTCTGATAATCAAGCCGATTGTATTTTCCTGATTTTGTTTCATATGTTGTTATTAAGTTAAATGTTCACATATAAATGCTCACAATCATCTTAAAGATTATATTTTAAGGTTTATAAATTTTCAAATTGCTAACACCTTAAATTGGCTCTTGTCTGAGAAAATACTCTCTATAGATGCTGAGATACTTGTTAAGCTCAGAGCAAGCAAATTCTGCTAAGTAAAACATATTTTCAATTTAAGTTTTTAATTTGAATTTTCAAATTGCATATTTCAGCCAAATAATTTCACAAAGACTGTCTTTTTGTCTCTATTTATGATAACTATTTCAACAAATAATTTTATAAACAAAAGCTCATTAAATAAAGTTTTCACCATTTATAAATCTTTTGACTCTTTTACCAAATTTAAATGCCCCCAAACTGTAGACCTTCTCAAATTTCTTTCTGAAACAAAATATAAATTTATCCAGTTAAAAACAGGAATTTTATCAAAAGATACTTCTTACAAGACGAGATATTCCCAGGTACAATCACAGAATTTCAAATCCTACTTGGGGATTATTTGAACTCTCCTTTCTGGGTTGTTCACTTTCTATCTTGCTTGTATAGGGATACATTTCAATATCTTCTTATTTTTAAGCTTTGTTTTTAGTAATTGTGATTTCATTAAACTTCAGAAGCTGAACTGTTTGGCATTCCATTCAATAAATACTTTAAGTATTTCCAGCTAATTTGAATGAAATGGAGTCAAATTTAGAAAACTTGTTTATAAAAATGTTCAATGCCATTGACGGGCACTTAAGTTGATATAGAATATAGTTCTTCAAGACTCAAGCATTTCTAAAATCTTATATCAGACAGGAAGGAGAGAAAGCATGTAGTGCCATGCTGGTATAATTTAGAGTCTTTAATATCAGGTTTGTAATTCAGGAATGCTATGTGTAGGTAATTATATTTATCCATTTTCCTAATTGAATCTTCTGTGGATATAACTACTGTATAAATTATATGAGCACTACACTAATTGTTATACACTTCTGTTCCATAACTGGAGAACACTGTCTTTACCATGACGGTCTGTTCTACCAAAACTTGAATTATTATCACAAAAAATTTTTATTTTAAGTGTCAAACTTTTACATGGAATTTTAAGTAGCACTCACAATAATATCAGACGTGGAAGAATCAACGTCTAAAACCTCTACTTTGATTCCATGAACTGGATGAAAAACAATGAGCCAATATTGCAATTAAAAGATTTTTCTATTTGAAGTAAATGATGACACTAACATAAAACTGGTGGCATTTAGTTGTGATTCTAATATTAATGGAGACAACACATAGCATCTCTTGTTCTACTTTTTCTATGTGCACAAGAAAACTTGGAATTGAAAATATATTGGAATGTGTTGAGGAAAACAGTCATTTGATTTAAACATGATCTAAACACATGCTTCACACAGTGAGTATAAATGCACCTTCCGAAGCTTTAGTGGTTAACATTTTTCCCAGCGCATTCTTCTTAAAATAACTATTAAGCATCGATATTGATGCTTCCTTAGTAGATTTAGTCTTCTGGCTCTCATGTGGTCAGTGATATCACTGTGACCCCCATATAGAGAATGATAAACGTCAACAAACGTTTTGTCCAAGAAACATGTTCATCATCAACTTTCTTGGATGTTTAGTACTTAATTTTCCACTAAATATACTCCTTCATTTTTATTGAATTCATTGTGGTCAAAAGGACTTATTTCAGTATAAACATGTTATCAACAAAATAAACAGTTGTAGATTTACAATAAATGGCTAAACTACCATGTAAGAACTTAATCTCTAGACTCTCTCACATATGTTACAGTAGCGTGTCTCTATGTCTCGTGTTTTTCATTGATCCCAGCATCTCTCTGGCTCTGATGGAGTTCTCTTAAATCTACTCCAGCTTATCTTAATGCAACAATTGCTAACTATACTTTGTTTAAAAATGAAAAATCGAGAAAAAGTTCTAAACCACGTGAGATACTGGACAACAGGCCTAAACCAGGACTGTCCCAACCAAAATGAGACATAGAGACATCCTGCTGGTGAAGAATGTAAGCTCTGTTCTCCAACATTCTAGGATTTACCCATAAACCCTGCACACTTGTCAAAATATCCTCAATTACTGTTATTATAATGTGAGACCTTATGAATTAATTTTCCATGCCAGACTGACCTTTATTATTATTTTTTAGGTTAAAAAAAGCTAAAGTAATATTTAATGAGGTAGAATCTGTTATAAACATCATCAAGTAAAACTGGCATATTAGAAGTGAAAATTATTAGTTTCTTTTTTATAAAGTAGTTAGGAAGTTAAGTTTCATTGTGTTTATCTCCATGCTTTCTGAGATACTGTTGCTATTAAAAATGCCTTGTACTTAGAACTGCTAAAATAAAAATAGTGACAATACCAAGTGCTGGTGAGGATGTGGAGAAACTGGATTTCTGACACAGCCATTCTGGAAAATAGCCATGGCCGCTGAGCCTGCACGTCTGGAGCCTGTGCTCTGCAACGGGAGAGGCCACAACAGTGAGAGGCCCGCGTACCGCCAAAAAAAAAGCATTTACCATAAAAGCAATTGTACTTGGGCATTTATCCCAGAGAAATAAAAACTTATGGTCAAACAAAGACATGTGCATGGATGTTTATAGAAGCTTTATTTGTAAAAGATAAAAATCAGAAACAACCCCAATGTCCTTCAATAGTTAAACAAGCTGTGGTACCTCCTTACCATGGAATAGTACTCACAAGAGAAAGGAATGAAATATTGATCCATGTAACAACTTGGATGGATCTCAAGAGCATTATGTTGAGTTTAAAAAGCTAATCTCAATAGGTCACATACAGCATGATTCTATTTCCGTAATATTCTCAAAAGGACAGAATTATAGATATGTAGAACATATTAACGGTAGCCAAGGGTTAGAGACAGGGGTGAGTGCAACTAAATAGAAGTAGCATGAGGGAGTTCCTTTATGGTGATGAAACAGTTTGTATCTTGTGGTAGTGATTATATGAATCTACACAGATGATAAAATTTCATAGAATTACACACACACACACACACACACACACACATATGAGTGCAACTTCCTGGTTTTGATATCACACTGTAGTTACCAATGTTCTGAACTCTTTGGTAAATTGTTTATGTCTCTTTCATTACACTGTAGTTATATAAGATGATGATTGGGGGAAACCGGGTGAAAGGTACTATTTTTGCAACTTTCTGTGAGTTTATAATTATTTTCAAATAAAAAGTTAAATGAAGAAACAAAAATACATTTGTCCCTTTTATGTTGTATCTGGTATTATGATATCTGCTTACCTGGAAAGGAAAAGTAATGATCAAATGATTTCAAGTTTCAATTATCTTTTTTTCTTTCTTCTTATCTGTATTTCTTATTTGTTTTGTGGTGAATACATATTATTAACATAATAAAAATAATGAGGAGGTAAAGTTAATAATACATATTATTAACATAATAAAAATAATGAGGAGGTAAAGGTTGGATTACTAATGTCAAGGTGGATTGAGGTGAGGGAAGAAAGTGGCCACCAGAGAGAAACAGGGGCTGTATTTTTTTTTTTTTCTGGTACACGGGCCTCTCACTGTTGTGGCCTCTCCTGTTGCGGAGCACAGGCTCCAGACGTGCAGGCTCAGCAGCCATGGCTCACGGGCCCAGCCGCTCCGCGGCATGTGGGATCCTCCCGGACCGGGGCACGAACCCATGTCCCCTGCATCAGCAGGTGGACTCTCAACCGCTGCGCCACCAGGGAAGCCACAGGGGCTGTATTTTTCAACGCAGGGCATAATGCATGCATAATGGACACCCCCCAATAGGTGCACAATGATAGTTTACTGAATGAAAGAATGAATGTTCAAAAGGTGTTAGACACAAATCAGAGCAGATGGAAAGAGGTTCAGAGAGAGGCTGGAAAGCCATCAGGTAGCAAATAGAATGGCTTCCAGGGCACATAACTGGAATCTGTTGAAAAAAAAAAAGGACTGATAATCTCTAAATGTGGAAGAAATCTAGGTCAGAGCTGTTTAGACCAGGCTTAAATGCTAAAAAAGTCTCATTGAGTTCAGAGAATAAACCACTTGGACCACTAATACTTCCTTGGAGCTGGTAAGCCAACATTGTGTCAGGTAGGAAGGTAGCTTTTTGTTCTAAAGAGCTAAGTGGGCCTACGATATGTTGAAGTCCTGCTAGGCATAGGTTCCATACCTTAGAGGAAAGACCAACATCCCACGTCTCTCAGAGCAGAACCGTGTGAGTTTCAAAAATGATCTGAGGGTTTCTTGGAGTAAGTCATTACCTTAATCCCACAGGTCAAGTTTAGCTCGTGACAAGAGAAGAATGGAGATTGGATTCTTTGCTGGGCCTAAGTAACCGGAGATTGTCTGACAGGGACTTCCATTAGCTCCGTGTTCACTAAAGCTTGCCACACCACCAGCAATGGTTTGCACCCTGCCTCAGCGTCTTTGTGGATGCCAGGTGAGAGGCTCAGCCTGTGCCCCGTGCGTGGTGTGGGCTTTTCATCAGTCACGTGTGTCAACCACACAGGCACATTTAAGTGCTGCCTTCCCTCTTGTAGTAATTGTTATTATGTAAACAATCTAATCTGAGTGCTAATACATGTAATTTCACTGAACTGGCAGTAATGAATCTTGAGTGTGCTGTTCCACAGACTTGCTTCTTTCCCAGGTGAGGGGTGGCAGTGATGAGCATCCCTTCTGTGGCCACACAGAGTCCACGGGTTTTCAAGGTCTTCAGAGGAGCACTTCAGTTTTCAGGTCAACACCCCTTTTCTTCATCAACTTTCAGTGAAAATCGTAATAAAACATACAACGGGTTGTAATGGAGAAGCAGCATACTGTAATTTGAGAGAAGAATTACAGATTTTTAGAATAATATTTGATGGTGCTTTGGAATATTTTTATGGTTGAACACTTATGTCCTGGGAGCAGGACTCTGTGAGCCTACCTACTTTTACCAACTAAGCCACCCAGTTTCACTTCTAGTCTGTGGTCAGTTGTCTTCACGGTCAGTCTCCTGGCTGAGACATATACGCAGAGCTTCTGGTTCCAACCCTCGCATTTTAGAGTTCAGAGAAGTGGAGGCCACAGGTATAGGAGGGACAGAGCTGGTCCCAGAACGTGCCTCATCCTTCTCATTGCAGTGACACTTCTCCCAGGCCGTGCACCACCTTTACAGGCTGTAGGACACCAGAGGACCAGGGACCAATTGTTAGGAGAGAGGCCAGGGGACAGTTAAAAGTGATATTACTTTGTGGCATTCACAGCTGCGAGGAGTGATGGCAGCCAGATGTATTCATTCGATCCATTCAGTGATTATTCATCCAGTACTTTCTCATCCACTACTTTCTATGTGCTGGGGACTGGTTTAGGCACTTGCGAAACAGAAATGAACAAAATTGCAGAATTCCTCATCCTCATGGAGGCCACATTGTAGCAAAAGTAAAAGGAAACGCACAGTCCTAACTATGTCCCAGTCCTGTCCTCAACAATGTACATATGTTAACTCATTGAATCCTCACAATGACCCTTTGAGGTAGGTAGGATTGTGTTTCTTTTTGTTTTTTTTTTTGGTAGGATTGTTAATCACATGTTGCTGGTAAAGAAACTAAGGAACAGGGGATAAAAATTAAGAAACTTGCTCAAGGTCATGCAGTGAGTAAATAACCAGCCTAGGATCCCGCCCTAGCTATTTGGCTGTGAATTCCTGCTCTGAACCATTGCACTTGACTGCCTGATGCATGAGTGAGGTTAGAGCCGTGGTCTTCTTTCTTTTCTTTCTTTTTTTTTTTTTTTTTTCTGTAAGCAGCGGAAGCCTCCCTCTTTTTAGAAATGAACTTCCATGTGGAGGACCAAAAACTAAAATAATAAAAGTGGCCCTGTTCTGGATGAAGAGAATGGAGAGGGTGGGGAATTCACATTGTTCTCGCTGGATGGCAGGAGCTGATCAGTAGATGCCTGCTTCCAGAGCCTCTGCTCCTCCTTGGTTCCCACCCTGTTAGACCTGGCACCCTGCACCAAGGCTTTAGAAAGAGCTGGAGTGGATGTACGGAAAATGGGACAACAGACACATCTGGGTCAGCCCTGGGAGGTTAGAGGCGTTGTAGTAGTAGTGCCAGCAGAATAACTCAGGAATTTTCAGTCTATACCCCGACAGTGTGTGTTCGGGGGCCTCTCTCCCATCCTTTGAGAATAACTGATGCTGTGGTGCTCTCCTGTGACTGATGGCAGAGGGTCTTATAAGGGGAAGAGTGGGAGGTTGAAGGTACATTGAAAACCCGGGGATGCTTTTCTTCTTCTCATCATTCCTTCTTTTGCCTCCTGCCTTGACTATCTCTGGCCCTGCGTGATGGAGCCACAGACAGTGCCAGAAAGAGGCCTCACAGCTCTCGGGCTGATGGTGTGTATCCCTTTGAACATCCACTGAGGTCAAGTTTTACAGACTTCTAATGGCTACTGTGGCAGTATCGAGGCAATGGTCTTCTAGTGGCACCGTTATTTCACCATCTCTTAAAAGAGTAGAATAAATATTACCCCTACTCTTCCCAAGGAACCTGCCCAAAGTTGCCAGATTCAAAGATTCAAAGGGCAGTTCTTGGGGTATTTTGTTTCCGAAAGTCCTGGAATGGAGCAGTTTATAAAGTCATTTTGCTAAGCCTTTCTTTTGCAGCCACTCCCATTCCCAGCCCTCAGTAATCAGCTGGAGGTTTGGAGATCACTTGCCCTGGCCAGCCTGGAGGTAGCTTTTGCCCAGCTACTCCTCCAGGTTCCTTTTCACTGGCCTCTGCTTTGAATTGTTAATTTCCTCTCTGAAGGCACTGTCTGACTTTGTTAGCAGGTCTGACACTGTCTGGCTGCTTGCAAAGAGCAACTAGTGCCAATAAGGTGCCAGCACTCTTCTAGGCATGGGAGACATAAAGGGGAAAAAATCCTTTTTCTAACCTCAAGGTGCTCACAGTTTAGTGGGGAGACAGCCAGGTAAACACGAAATCACACCGTGGTGTGATATCGTATTGTAATTGTCAAAGGAAGGCTGTAGTGGGAATGGGACAGAAGGATGCCTCATGTGCTTGGGAGAAGCAGGGAAGGCTTTCCGAGTGAGGCAACCGAGAGCTGAGACTTGGAAGGAAAGGAAGAGCTTCAGGGATATGTACATCAAGTTGGAAGAAAACCACTGCCAAGGGCTTTGTGGCATCACGCCACATGCCATATCTAAGGCACTGACTGGGCTGTGTTACCAAAAGAGAGAGGCACTGGGTTCCTATTCCTACTTCTCTATAATCAGGACAATCAAAAGTCTTAGTTTAGAAGTTGATCATTGCTTCCTTTGAATTCTCGCCAGAACCTCCTTGAGAACCGGTGCTTTTTAAAATTTCACTTTCCCCTTTCCCATCCCATCTCACCCCCA